AATCTTTGTAGAACTAGTCCAGGAAGTGTAATATACACAAAAATGGCATTCGGATAGTACAAACTGACGATTACTAAACGTTTCCATTGAGTAGTCGAAATTATATATATTTTTTTTATATATTGAATGAAATAATCCTATAAGAAGATACTGAATGCCATTTTGATAGGATTATATTATAATGTTGTGTGTTTTACCATAGAGTGAGTGAAATAAATTTGAAAAAAGGATATGTTGAATGAAGATAAATTATTATGGGGCTTCTAAAGAGTTTCTTTTTGATGTTTTATTGGATATAATTTTTATTTTTGACGAGTTTCTGAATTTTTCGAATTATATACTAATTTTTATTTGTTAATATGTACTCATATAGTGGGATGTAAATAAATAAAAATTTGATTTAATTAAATTTAGACAAGATGTCTGTTCACTTATAACATCTTGAATATTTTTAAGATAAAATTAAAAATTTTGTAAAATCTCATTCTATTATTACAAATAATAAGAAATGTTTAATTTAATATTCTTTTAAATAAAATTCTTTTGATATTTTTTATGATGATATAACGCGTTAAGACAATTTTCGTGCAATTCTTAGAATGACAATTTTTGAAATTATTCAAACTGGGATTATAAACAATTCTTTTTAGAAGTCCCTTAAAGTGGAAAGTAGTTAGATGGCATGTAATAATGATTCATCAATCATTGAAATCATGCACATCTTATTTAATAACTAATTGTGTATAATGTTGGCTTAGACTTGACAGTAGCCAAGAATAACTCGGCACATGACCTATCTTATGCCATATTAGATACCTAGGTACAAAACATTCTGTTAAACATTGTTGTTTATCCATTGTTATGTAATATTTACATGTAAACATTTAGTTCTGTATATTGTTAAGAGACAAAAATTCATACGATATAGTTTCTATATAGACTTATATTTTTTAACATTGTTAAAATATCCTTTGTAGGTACATTTCTCATTTAAGATATAAACAACATTGATTAAATACACAATGCCAGTGTATGGGTGATTTCAAGAAAACTCTGTGATGCAGATATGTGTAAAGTTAATCAAGCGCATGCGAATAAATAGTTAAATAACTTAAAAATTCGCACGTGATACGTGAAATTATTTTAGTTTTTAAGCAAACTCCCATACCTTAATAATGCCTACAAAGGATGTTTTGAACGTAAGCAATTGACAAGACTCTGTTTTACACGATTGCAAATGAATATAATATAATTAATGGTAAAGCGAGGCTGCGCTGAGATATGTCTGTGCTGCTGTCTTACACTGTGAACATTCTCTGTTGAGGCTGTGTTGTTCATTTGTCTATGAATAGACAAATTTCCAAATTTATCAATATATCGAATATTGTCTGTACAGAGGCAATATCTTTGTATTAAATTTCGTATATATGGCCTTACAAATACATAATGAACGTATAATGTAGATGTAAACAATTATAAAGCATATTGGAATTGTTTTGTAGCACTTATATACTCTCCATTTTGTAATATGTTTGCATAAATATCTGAAGAGTACTGCATTAAAAATGTTCAACACAATAGATATGTAACATCCCATATCTGATAGAATTTTCTTTCTTTGATGTCTTTTTCATATTGTTTAAAATAGAAAACATTTTAATATCATGTATTTATGTGCGTGCATGCGTGCGTGCGTGCGTGCGTGTGTGATATTAAAATTTATATATGTATAAAATTGTAGGTATTATTTGCAGACTTATAAAGTGCATTGGAATGTGTGTGTGTACACACACACACACACACACACACATATTTCTTTATATAAAATTAATATTTTCTTTTATGTATATCAATAGTGATAGCAAATTTTTATGATGACTGTATTTTTACGTAATATTCCTATGAGCCATGGGATGTTACAGTATGTCAAATATTCTGAGGCCTTATTATAATCTTAGTCCATTGGAAATTATGCATTGTACTGAATTTTTCTGAATCTATCGAGAATGCATTAAGCAATTATCTAATAAAGTTCAGAAATGAGGGAGTTTGTTATGAAATAAATCCAATGACTGACTGTAATTAAATAAAATAATACATGGGAGAATGTTCACTGTATGCTTCAGGTGCTATGGGGATGGTATTACATTCTCATGACATGATGTAACGTTAGTTAATACGAAAAACGCATTGGTGTTTCTCAACCAATGAATTATAGCAATTACATATAACAATTCGAAAGACACTTATTAAAATATGTACAAGACAAACATGCAAGAGATATAAGAAAAGCCATCTTTATTCGCACAAGTAAAGTCAACGAAATACGCTTACGGTTAAAAATGTTTCTTTTATATATATATATATATATATATAACTTCATTGAAAATGTATTATTATCTTTAAATCTTAAAACTTAAGCCATAATTTCTTCCTTTAAGATGATGAAAATAGATTAAATTTATTAAATGCATTTTAATTTGAAGAATATATTATAAGCATAAGCGACATTAATAATACTCGCAATAATAACAATAAAAATATATGTAACATACACGGAATTTTTTCTTAAGAAACAGAATTGCAAAGAGAACAGTATCGACTTTCTTTCTCTTTCTTCGAAGAATTACTGTTTCGATTCTTTATCTAAAGAATAAAGGTGACATTGCCTTAATGGATAGCACTTATAATATTTAAGAGTTACTTGGAGCTTGTGTTGAGAAACATCGTATAGGATATATGAACATTATATATATATACATACACACACATATATATATATATATGTGTGT